GAGATCTTCGTCGTCGTCCAGTTCCATGGTCTTGGTCGGTACGGTGCGGCTGCAGCCGGTCTGGGATGGTGTCGTCGGTTTGAAAACACATTCGAGGCACACGATCACGTCCCGCACAGGCGTTCCAGGGTGTCGAGGCGTGTCGGGCTTTCGGGATGACGGGAGGCCGTCGACCGCGACAAGCATCACGCAGTTCTTACACACGACTTCGCCGCACACGCGGCAATGGCGCTTCCGCAGAAACAGCGAAAACCGATTGTGGCAGACTTGACAAACCCCACGGCAGGTCCTTGGGGTCCATTCCAACGGGGACATCACGTCAACCGCGGAGATGACGCGGTCTGTGGGGGAATCGCTCGCGATCGACGCTTCCGTGGGCGATGCGCTGTCGGTGCGGACGTCGGCGAGCTTGGTCGACACCACGTGGGCGAACACGGCGAGTTTGGACAAATCGCACGCGCTTCGTGGCGCCAAGTCCATCACAAACACGGTCCCGACCGCGTGTCCATCGGGGGACAAAATCGGCGCCCCCGCGTAAAAGCCGAGATTCGGGCCCGTGACAAGCGGGTTGTGGCGAAATCGGATGTCTTGGCCGAGGTCGAGCACCGCCATCGGCGCCGCAAGCGCGATCGTGTGCGCGCAGATCGACGCTTGGCGTGGAATAAATTCTTGCGCGAGACCCCTGGACGACGCAAACCACTGCTGGTGCTCGTCGATAAAGCTGACGCCGCCGATCGGCGTGTCGAATACTTCACACGCAAAATGCACCGCGCTCTGCATGAAGTCGTGCCGCCGCACGTCCAACATGGACAGCGACTTGATTCGTTCCACGTCGTGGGGAATGAACGGTGGTTTCGGCCATGCATGCGACCAGTTGAAGTCGAGCGCGTAAAAGTACGGCGTGGACTCGGTCGCGATATCTGAAGATGGGTGCGACTCGGGACGGTGGCGCGACGGCGACTTTTTGCGGCTCACGTGCGACGAGGACGACGACGGAGTCGCGAGAGGATTTGGTCGGGACATGAACGACCGGGACAGCACGGTTCCGGCAATCGCCCTCGAGCTCGTGCGTTGCCTGAATTCGACGTCCAGTTTTCCGTCACATGGAGAACACACACGGGCGTCAACGATCTTGCCTGCGACGTCCGCGATGTAGTCGAGGGTGCAGCTTCTACACACGACGTTCCCACACTGCAATGCATGATGAGATGTGAGGTACACGATGTCGAGAGACCAACGTACGAGTTGGCAGTGGGCGCGCCGCCGGAATGTCCCGAACGACTTGGTGCAGATGTGGCACGCGGTGCACGACTTGAAGGGTGTGTACTTTTCATGATGGAGCAGTTGTTTCGGATCGAGGATGCGTTCGCGCTCGTTCGCGTTGCGCAGCATCCTACCGACGTTTGCCTCGGACATCATCATGCGAGTGTGGAGCGGGGGAACGCGAGCAGTCAGTCACAGGCAGCTAGTTTACTGCAAGGACGTAAAAGGCGTCGCGCTCGTGGGTGTCCCGGGCGGCGTCGGCGGATCGGGTCGAATTCCAAAGTGCGCTCGGTTTCGGAAACAGCAGCAAAGCCGTCGTCCACATCGAATTCAGGGATTTTTGTAACATTTCTCCTATTTAGGACCAAAATTGTAAAAACCGGCCAACATTCCTGGGAATTCCCCCGCCTTCCCGCCAAATTGCCGAAATTTACAATTTCGGTGGGGGCGATCTCCGTCGAGGGTTACACGCATTCTGATTCTGTGGCGACGAAGCGGTGGGGATCGATTCGGCAGAGGTGCGGCGCTTCCTTGGGCGCAATGCCTGTTGGGGTCGGCCCAACTCGAACGGGGGCGCGTTGTTCGCCGACGCTACCGACTGCGCTGTACGTTGCAGGTGGGGGTGGGGTCGATCGAGACCCGGCATGAACGGGCGCTTCGACGCCAGAAGGAAGGAGAGCGCTGGGAAGCAGGGAACGGGACCGACATGTGTGTTATCATGCAAACTCAAGACCCACACCGTGATGGTGGACGTGAATACATCGAGCGCATGGTCGCCCCTACGTCGTGGGCAATGTACGGTTCAAGAGGTGGCGACAGAGATGGCTGCGTGATCGTCTTGCGGCAACAGGTACCTGGATACATCCCCACAGCCGCCACAACACCTGCGCGTGCTCGATAGATCTCTCGGCAATATGTAGATCGATCGCCAACCACGTCGTTCTAGCGACTGCCCATCATTCCCTTGGACTCGTTTCATGGTGTCAGCAATTTGTCGTCTCTCTCGAACGCGGTCGGTCAAATGGGTGGCGGTACGACGATGGGTGTGCAGGTCGTACGGGTTCTCCAGTCCGATCGATTCCCTCGGCGCCGTGCAGGACTCACGAGTCAACAGAGCACGTTGTCCGTCGGTACACACCACATACACGTTTCGATTTGTCCATGTGGTTTTTGTAAACCATCAAAAGGTACCGTGGCACGCCCCAGGACAGGATCGCCGACGTAGTCCGCAGGCTTTGAAATATACGGTCGTACATGCATGCTGCATGAAAACCTCGGCATCCAGCGAGGTCATGGCGCGAGGCGCTTTATACTCGCTGTGTGTGGATGAATCGTGCGGCTCCAATCTTGCGTGCTGGTGGAAGAAATGCGTTGGATTGGTGGATGCGCCTGGATTCTTGCATTTTGATTGGCTGGACTCGTGTGTACCTTTCTGCTGATTGGATAGTACGTCGATGTGGTCGTGATACGACGTACTAGTATGCAGTAGGTAAACCTCGATTAGGTAGTAGTACTCATTCCGGACATCGAAACTAGTGGCTGACATGGACCTCGACACGTCTTGCCTCTACCGTCGATTCCACAACGACGTTGGTGGATTGTGTGGTGGCCATCACGTGCTTGTAGTCGTGGGGCATGAGCTTGACGAACGCGTGCTTGGTCGCGTCCCAGTCGGCCAGGATGGTCTCGCCAACGGGGGAGTTGGTGTGTTGAACGTGCTGTTGGATCAGGTCCTTGACAAACTGCTCGTCCTCGTCCAGCGCCTCCAGTCCACCCATGGACTGATTGCACTTGTCGGCAAATTCGTTGGACGGGTCGTACACGTACGCGATGCCGCCAGACATGCCCGCGCCAAAGTTGCGCCCCGTCGGGCCGAGAATCACCACGCGGCCGCCCGTCATGTACTCGCACCCGTGGTCCCTACAACACACATGCTCAGGCAATGTCTACTTGGTTTGCACGGCCCATACCCAACGCCTTCGACGACCGCATGGACGCCCGAGTTGCGGACGGCAAAGCGCTCCCCGGCCTTGCCCCGAAAGAACGCCTTGCCGCTCGTCGCGCCATACAAGACAGCATTTCCAACGATCGTTTGGTTGTGGCCGCGCTCGACTTCGGGAGCGACAATCACAGTGCCGCCGCTGAGCGCCTTGCCCACGTAGTCGTTGGCATCGCCAAGTACCTTCAACTCCACGCCGCGCACGAGCCCAAACCCGAGCGACTGGCCAGCATGGCCATGCAAGTGGAGTCGGATCGTGTTGGGGGGTAGGCCTGGAGGGGGAGCACTTGCATCAGAGTCGAATACACACATCCATCCTGTACACAACCTCGTTCCCCGTGCTTCTTGGTGATGACATGGGACAGCAGCGCGCCCACGGTTCGGTCGACGTTTGAAATCGGAAGCGCTACTTGCACGGGGGTGCCGTCTTCGATGGCCAACGCGCATTGCGTCAGCAGCTTCTGGTCCAAGATCGTGTCCAGCCTGCGTCCGTCCGTCATGACCGCATCAAGGGAGCGAACCACTGGCAACACGTACTCGTGGTCTTGCTGATCGTTGGGGTCGTAGCGAATGCGACTGCCTGGGCTCAGCGTCTGCGCGTTCACGAGCAGCGGCGACAGGTCCAGGAGCCGCCTACAACGACCTGTCATGCCATCCCATGGACGGCTCGATTCGTACGTCTTTCGGTGCAGCGTCGATTCGTCCACTTGGAGCAAGTCAGCACGGCCGATCACTTCGTCCAGCGACGTAGCGCCCAACGACCGCACAATCTCTTGAATCTACGCACGGCCATCGATGAGCACGTGTGTATGCCGTGCGCACGTACGTCCTCGGCCAGGAGCCACAAAAAGTTGACAACGTGTTCTGGCATGCCCGTGAATTTCTTGCGCAGTTCTTCGTCCTGCGTGGCAATCCCGACGGGGCACGTGTTCAAATGGCACTTGCGCATCATGACACAGCCGAGCGCAATCAGCGGCGCCGTCGCAAACCCGTACTCTTCCGCGCCCAACAGCGCGGCGATTACAACGTCTCGGCCCGTCTTGAGCTGGCCGTCCGTTTGCAACTTGATCCGCGACCTGCCAACAACACGCGCGCATGAGATGGATTCGAATGTCTGTCCCGTCGCACCGCAGGTTGTTGAGCACGAGCGTTTGCTGGGCTTCCGCGAGACCGAGTTCCCACGGCAGACCGCTGTGCTTGACCCCCGTCCAAGACGATGCGCCGGTCCCGCCTGCAACAACGTCAGATCGGGGGATTTCACGGCACATGTCGTGCATTGTACCGTCATGGCCACTGATTGTGATGTGCTCGGCCTTGGCCTTGACGACGCCAGCCGCCACGATGCCGACGCCCACTTCGGACACAAGTTTGACGCTCATTTCAGCGGTCGGGTTCGAGTTTTTCAAGTCGTGGATGAGCTGGGCGAGGTCTTCGATCGAGTAAATGTCGTGGTGCGGCTACATATCGTCCATCAGCGTATCATGCTGGGAAACGTTGACACACACCGGCGGCGAAATCAAGCCAACACCAGGAGTCGTGTGGCGGCGCGCGGCAATGTATGGCGACACCTTGTGGCCAGGAAGTTCGCCGCCTTCGCCGGGCTTGGCACCTTGCGCCTACATCGTCGGTCAGAGGTCCATCGTTGGGTGGTTGCGAGAAACCATTTTGATTTGAAGCTGGTCGGCATTCGACAAGTAATGCATCGTCACGCCAAATCGTCCACTCGCCACTTGCTTGATGGCCGATCGCATCGGGTTCGGCGCCCCATCCTACAAATGGCATGGGCAAAACTCTAGGCGGAATGGTTGGTGCTGTGTTCGTACGGGTTGAGGCATGTATCGCTTCGGGTCTTCGCCGCCTTCGCCCGTATTCGATCGACCGCCCAGTTGGTTCATCGCGATCGCGAGCGCCTCGTGGGTCTCGCGCGAGATCGAACCAAGAGACATGGCACCTTCACGCGTCGGTGTCACACACACGGCAAACACGCCGCCAACGCACCAGTGTTGAATCGCTTCACAATGTTGGCAATCGGCTCCATCTCGTCCCAGCGCGGGCGACGCTCCTCCGGCACCGTTTGGAACGCGAGCAACCCACGCAGCGTGACGCGTCTACCAGTCGCACACTCAGCCCATGACATCCGATGGCTGCAACGCACTTGGACGCGGCGTTGGTCAAGTCACGATATTGGCCATATGCATCGCGGGACTGCGTACGCGCCGCCGTCTGCAGCGCGACGATCGCGCTCGGTGTGTTAAAGTGCAACTCGCCGTTCTCGCGCGCGTGGTATTGGCCCGGGTTTCGCACCAACGGCATTTCCAGGGAATGGGTGGGGAAGCCAGCTTCATGCAGGCGTGCAATGTCGTCGTACAATGTCGCCATGTTGCTGCCTACGCACATCGCCACGTCAACCCATCGACAACTTGCCTCCAAAACACACCTTGGAGGCGCGACGTTGTGCCGTAAAAGCATCGGTCAATCACGTCAGCGCCAAGCCCGACCGCTTCAAACACCTGCGCGCCCTTGTACGACTGCAGCGTCGAAATGCCCATCTTCGACATGACTTTGAGCAGGCCTTTCCCGACAGCCGTCTGGTAGTTGGCCCATAGCGCCGCCGTCTCCACCTTCTTCTTCGCGATGGCTTCGACAAGCCCTTCACTGTTCATGTACCCCAACGCGTGGTACGCCATATACGGACACACGCCGTCCGCTCCAAACCCGAGCAACGTCGCAAAGTCATGCACTTCCTTGGCATCTCCGCATTCGGCAAAGATCGCGACGGACGTCCGTTGTTGCGTGCGTAGGAGGTGCTGGTGCACCGCGCCAACGACAAGCAACGACGGAATCGGGAACCGATCGGGGCCGGCAGCTTGGTCTGAAAACACGAGCACCGCTTGTCCTTGCGCGGCCTAATGCACAACGCATCCTTCTCCATGATGGATGGCCGTCGTTTGCAATATTCGATACCGCGGTGGTGGCCTCTTCACACAGACGATCGAGCGCATGGACGAGCCCTGCATGGCCACTATGCGCTGGAAACGTCGCATCGACCGTCTTGGCTGTCCACTTCGAGTCGGCCATGCCATACTTGAGTGTATGCAAGTCTTCCAACGACAGCACCGGATGGTCCACGATCAGCCTGCATGCAGTCACAGAGTTACACTCCATCCCTGCATCCGTCGGCAAAGATCGCGACATTCGAAGCGCCGCCGTACCGCTTTGCGTGATCTGCTGACGCGTCCAGCACATTCTGTTCGGGCCCGACGGGACATCGCAAACTCATGACGAGGTCTTCCCGAATCGGGTCGATCGGGGGGTTGGTCACCTGGTTGATTCGCAGCCATCAATGCGCTTCCACCCATCCTCCATGAATCAAGCCCAACAGCAAACGCTCAAGTTACCTGTGCAAAAAGCTGCTTGAAGTATTCGTTGGGCATCTTGGGCTGCTCCGACAGGACGGCGAGGGGCGCGTCGTTGCCCATGGACCCGAGGGCTTCTTTGTGTTCGAGGCCCATGGGGACCAACAGCATTTCCATGGTTTCCGTCGTGAACCCGTACAGGTTGAGGCGACGCGGCATGTCGGCCGGAGGGAGAGGGGCCGTGCCTGGCTGGGTGGCGGCCGCCGCCGCAACTGCCGGCGTTTGGAAATGGATCATGTGTTGTACCCACTCGCCGTACGGGCGCGCGGCGCTCACCGTCGCTTTGATTTCGTCGTCCGAAACGATCCGGCCTTGGTCAAAGTCAACAAAAAACATCTTGCCGGGTTCGAGGCGGTGCTTGGCCGCCACGTCGGCCTCCATGAGCCCTTCAATCACGCCGACTTCGCTCGACAGCATCACGTGGTCGTCGGTGGTGACGTAGTATCGACTCGGTCGCAGTCCGTTGCGGTCCAACGACGCGCCCACTGTCTTCCCGTTTGTAAACGCGACCATGGCCGGACCGTCCCATGGCTCCATCATGCACGCGTTGTACTGGTACATGGCTTTCTTGGCCGCCGGCATCGACATGTGTGTCTGCCATGCTTCCGGAATCATCATCATCATTGCTTCCGGCAGCGACCGGTCGCACGAACTGGCCGTCGTCAACAGTTCCAGCGCCGCGTCAAAGTTGCCTACAACGATGCATTGAATACAGCGTATCGAGAAAGCGGCAAATCGTGCCGGAATCGCTCATGTCGTCGGAACACACGGGCAAGAGCGACGACGTGGCATGACCAAAGTACGCGCTGTGCGCCTTGGACCCGCGTGCAAACATCCAATTCTTGTTGCCGCGCAACGTGTTGATCTCGCCGTTGTGGCACAGCACGCGGTATGGCTGCGCGCGGTCCCAGGACGGAAATGTGTTGGTACTGAAGCGCGAGTGCACAAGTGCCAAGTGCGAGTTGAAGTCGTGTGCCTGTGTATTCGATTGAGAACAACACATTTTACCAAGAACACGGCATCGAGGTCGACCTGGAGATCAGCGTAGTAGGGCATGACTTGGCCTGGGGTGAGCTGGCCCTTGTACACGAGGGTCTGGCTCGACAGCGAGCAAACGTACATCTCGCTCTCTTTGTTGGCGCTTGTCGCGACTCTGCGTAACCTGATGAAGAGTTAGTGACGCGCATTGATATGCAACGACATGGGGATTGACCGGATCGAGACAGGTCCGCTACCTACCGCATGAGTTCCTTCTCAAAGTGGTCGTTGGAGAAGTTAGGCGGGGGAAGGACGAGGACTTGTTCGATGTGTGGCTCCGACGCGAGCGACGTCTGTCCCAATTCGTGGTTGGAGGTCGGCATGGACCGCCACCCAACGACAGTCAAGTTCAAATCCTTCGCGAGCGCGTTGAACGACTTCTTGCTCGCTTCAATGCATGCGGAATCCTTGGTGAAGAAGACGTTGCCGACGGCGTACTGTTCGGGGACGAGGGCGACACGGGCACCGCCAAACGCGCCTTCGTCGACGAGCCGTTGAATAAATTTGTGAGGCATCCCGACGAGCATGCCAGCGCCGTCCCCCGACGCAGGGTCGCATCCACACCCCCCGCGATGACTCATGCGGACAAGCATTTCGTTGGCCTGCAGCACAACTTTTCGCGACGGTTTCTTTTGCAGCTGCGCCAAGATGCCGACACCGCAACTGTCTTTTTCGAGCTCGCGCTGGTACAGGAGGGCCTGAGGTTTGAGGCGTTGCCCCACAACCGACGACGACGCTGCAGGGTGCTTCGGCGCATTGCGAAAGTACGAGTACGACGACAGAGGCGACGCATGCGGCGCGCGCAGAACGACATTTCCGCGATGGCGCAACAGCGACGCGCGCAACATGGTGAGTTGAAGAATGGGGACCAGTACTCGAAATACCGACGAATCTTGTGGAGGAAATCCACCAATGAAAGGCCAGAGATTTTGGATCAGCCAATCAAAAGCGAACGCTTTGTGTTTGCGTCAATTCGTGCCTTGGGGTTTGCAGGACATCCATGATCGCGCAAAGCATTCGGCGCATGCTCCCGATGGATATCCATAGGCGAGACAGCGCGAGTGTTGCTGGGGCCGAGGTGCGTGGAGGATGTGGCTGAAGATGGGGTGAATGGCATCGCGTTTCGACGAGGTAGAGTGGGGACGACGGCAAGTTAGGAACTTCAACTTGCGTTAAGAGCGGTTTTGAATCGCGGGGGCTGTCACATATTTTATTCCATCTGTCGGATTCGATGAAATGGTCCGCTGAACCGACCCGCGCCCACCATCACGTGTGGCACGTGGTGCTCATTCTGGGAAGCCGACGTGAATCGAAACAAAGACGGTACTACCCATCCATCACGATAACTCGACGCTTCGTCTCGCCATCGACGTGACATTTCCTGCTGTTCGAGAGCGTTACGGTTGTCCACGAGAATGTTACGTCAACTGTTTCGAACACGAAATTCTTTCGAGTTTTGCCCGCGCAACGCATCAACCCTGCACATGGCCAACGAAGGAATACCGTTAGCATGAGTATTCATGGCGCTGGCGGCCATTCGGCGTGCCGCGTCGTACTGCTGCGCCATGGCGAAGCCGCATGCGACCCCGAGAAACAAAATGACTGTAAAGTGCACTTTGTGTTTGCCCAATCAACAACATTCTGCATGTACACAACGTACGCCATAGTATCATTGTACGAAGCGTATATTGATGTATTTCGGGGAGTTTGTACGAGATGTACAGTGTACGTGTACTGTGTCCAAGGATACCTTGACGATGCGCTTGGCAGTTTTCTTTCGATGGTGCTGCGCCTACAACGCATTTCGGCGCGGACGTTGAGCACGTCGACGTCGCATGCCCCCAAGATCATGTCTGGCCGAGTGGAGCGGTCCTTCATTGAGATTCCACGCGCCCCTGATGCCTACCGCCCTGCCACCGAGAGGATTCAAGATTGGCATGAAATCAACACAACCTACCGCGCCCCCGCCGAGCGCAAGGCGCAAGCGGGAAGATGCATGGATTGCGGGACGCCGTTCTGCCAGAGTCGCCATTTGTCGGGATGCCCCGTCGCGAATTTGATTCCAGAATGGAATGCGCTGGTGTACCGTGACGAGTGGCGCGAAGCACATCTACGTTTGAGCGCCACCAACAACTTCCCTGAATTCACGGGGCGCGTGTGTCCTGCTCCATGTGAAGGTGCCTGTGTGGCAGGACTTGTGGAAGAACCTGTGACGATCAAGAACATTGAATATGCAATCGTCGACCGGGCTTGGGAGGAAGGATGGATCACCCCACGACTTCCTCCTATGCGAACGGGGTTGAATGTTGCCGTCGTGGGGTCGGGTCCTGCGGGGCTGGCGGCGGCCGATGAGCTCAACCAAATGGGGCACTCCGTGGCCGTGTTTGAGAGGGAAGATCGCATTGGAGGCCTCTTGATGTACGGCATTCCAAACATGAAGGTACTCTTCACGGCACTACGAGACGTCCCATCTCACTTGCGACTAGCTGGACAAGTCCACCGTGAACCGACGCATCCAGCTCCTGCATGACGAAGGCATTACATTCCGAACAAATGCAGACGTAGGTTCAAATGTTCGCGAATCTCTTGCCGACGTAAGTTGCGTCCGACAATGGAGCCATGATGTCACCGTCGTTCACGTTCGTGCAGATGGATGCGATTGTGCTGTGCACGGGAGCGTCGATTCCTCGCCACGCCGACGTTCCTGGAAAAGATCTCGCGGGGGTAAGCTTGGATTTGTCCAGCTCGAGGCTTCAGCTCGATGCGGCAGGTGCATTTTGCCATGGAATTTCTCACGAGCAACCAAAAGCGCCTGCTTGCGAGCAAAGAGGGATCCCTCAAGAGTCGGTGGAACAAGGATTGGATCAATGCCGAAGGCAAGGATGTTGTGGTTATTGGCGGCGGCGACACCGGCACGGACTGCAGTACGTGTCTTCGCTGAAGCGTGTAACGCAAGTGGTGCGTAGTCGCGACAGCACTGCGTCATCGATGCCGCTCTATCGTGAACCTTGAGCACAACACGGCGCCACCACTAACGCGCAGCCCCGCAAATCCGTGGCCTCAATACCCCAAGATCCATGGGGTAGATTACGGCCACGCTGAAGTCCTCGCCGTGTTTGGCGAAGACCCAAGACAATATGAGCGATCTACTGTGCGCTTTGAAGGCGACGAATTGGGACATCTCACGCATGTGGTTCGACTGTGCTGCTGCTGCTGATAAGTTCGGCCCTGATCGGTCGTGGAATAGGTCACGGCGTGGTCGAGGACTCTAGAAGATGGAAGCAAGGAGGCGATTCCAGGAACGGAGAAAAAATACCCATGTGACTTGGCCATCCTCGCTATGGGGTTCCTGCATCCAGACCAAGCATTGCCGCAAACACTGCAATTGCAAATAGACTCTCGCAAGAACATTTGGACCGAAAACTACGTCACATCCATGCCTGGTAAAATCTCGTTGTACAATGCTGGAGCTCAACTCGAGTGTTCATTGCAGGGGTCTTTGCGGCAGGGGATTGTCGCCGTGGTCAATCACTGGTTGTATGGGCTATTCACGAAGGCCGTGACGTGGCACAAAAGGTGCAGCAGTACTTTGTAAGCGAAGGCCTTGCAGACGAATCGGTTCGCAAGTAGCAAATTAATGCAAGAAATTCATCTATCGGAATAAGCCATACGTACACACCAATGAAAGTGAAACTAAGAGGCTGACAGGCATCCTTGAGTGTGCACGATGCCAGTGCTGCGTCGGCGCAGGTCATCGACCTTCACAGCGGCGTGACAGAAGCGTAAGTCCAGCGATCGCACGTGCTGCAACATGCTCACGTCCCGGATGTTCTGGCAGTCGCTTAAGTTGAGTTTCGTTACGTTCCCCAGCGCCGACACGTCCGTCACCTACACGCGTCCTTAGGTCGGCAACTTTGAAAATGAAAAAGCGCGCGAAAATGTACCAGCTCACATCCGGATAAGTTCAGGGAGTATATCCGGCCCAATGAAGATACGTCCTCCACTTGGGAACAATTGCGGAGGCTGAGAGTCTGGGCGCGCGCGAGCCCGTGGACGTCCTTGATGCCATGGCAGTAGCTCAAGTCGAGATGCTGCACGTGAGTGAGTGCGCTCACGTCAGTAATGCGTTGACAACCTGCAGAATAACGTGTGGTGTGAGCGACCAGTCGTGGCGATGGGACTTGCCAGCGAGCTTGAGGGAGGGCACGTGACTCAATGGTGACACATCGACTAGGGCATCGCAGAAGCGCAGGTCGATGTCGCGGCAATGACGCAGAGGAGATACGTTTTGAATGCCGGGGCAGCAACTAAGGTTCACCTTGACAGCTTTGGCCAAGGGCGACAAGTCGGTGATGCGAGGACAACGATAGGCATTGATAACCTACGGAGGATGCTTGAGACGAGGATAGAGCGTGCAATGCGCACTTGAATGCTGCGAAGTGGCGACAAATCGAAGAGTTGTCTGCAGAAACTCATGTCGAGGTTGCGCACATGTGAAAGGCCCTCCAGCGACGTGATATTCTGGCACCGACTGATGTTGAGCACAGGGATGTGTCCCAGCGCGCAGATGCTGGTGACGCCGCGGCAATTGGACAAATCCAAGTGACGAATCGACGAGCCGCCGTCCTTCGCGAGGACATTCACGTTCTCTAACGATTCGCAATTGCTCAAGGTAAGGTGATAAACGTGCCGCAGCGCTGACACGTCCGTGATGCGTTTGCCTGTAGATTTTTAGTCAGTCGATGCTACCCACGCCCAAGAACATCCAACGACAAGCACATACAGGACGAAAGGTTGAGCGTATGCACGCCATGGAGCGCAGACACATCTTCCAGTGCACTGCACCCACTCAGGTCGAGCGACTTGACGCGCCCTACGTACATGTGCTCAGTACATTTCGGGCAAAGGGTTGGGCTTACCGAGGCTAGACACATTGGAAACGCGATGGCACTTTCTCAGGTTGAGCTCCACGCAATTGCCGAGCATCGAGACGTCCTCAATGTCCAGCCCGCTGGTTGAACTCCCGTCACGACGAGCTAGTGTATGACGAGTTGTTCATCACCTCAGGTGAAGAGTATGGACGTGTGTCAGCGCGCTGACATCGGTGACATTCTTGCAACCGCTCAAGATGAGAGTGTGGACATGCCCCAAGGCCGAGACATCGCGAATGCCAGAGCAGTTGCGCAGACTCACGGTGTGCACCGTCGCCAGCGCATGTACTTGGCTACACAAGACACTGAGAGTCGGTACAAGATGACCTGACAAACAGGCGACGAAAGAAACGGACCTGATGCTTTTGCACATGTTGAGGAACACCGCCGTGGCGTTTTGCAGCGGCGTAATGTCCGACACAGCGTGACAGTAGCTGAGGTCCACAGTCGCCTGCATGACCTGTTATCAAGGCGAGAGCTTGGCCCAGCACGGCCATGACGATTTACGACATGAATCAAGGCACGTACGATGCCGGCAAGCGGCGTCAAGTCGGACAGGTCGTGACAATAGCTCATGTCGATGGATGGAAGTGTCTTAAGGTGCTGGAGACCGCGGACGTTTGACGTCCCACTGAGATTCAAGTGCTTGAGCTTATGGACGCCTTCCACGTACAGTCATACATCGAGTGGAACAGGAAATGAAAGTACCTGGAAAGAGACTAACACGATGGGTTCCACTGAGGTCAAGCGACTGAATGTGCGGCACAAGTTTGCTCAACAAAGCCAACAAATTGTCGGTCGCGCGGATTGCGCGCACACTTTGAGCAATGAGGTTCTCGACAAAATCATCCACGTGTGGATCAATATCCGTGATGTCGATTTCTCCCTCTGGTTCATCCGTGTTCTCCTGTTGCAATCAACTCCGTGAGGAATGTCGTCAAGGGAGCCGTACCTGTTGTCCTCGGGGAAGGTTGTAGATAGATTCGTTGTTGTGGTATGGCTCGTCAGTGCGAAGGAACGGCTTAAACGTGATCGCTTTAAGGTTTGTCCACGTGGATGTTATCACCTCGAGATCTTGCACGGATGCATTGATCTCCGCTGGTTGGTGGAGGGTCACGGCGTCGTGCATGAGACTCCTGAACGATCGGTTCAGCGTCGAGATGGACATGACTTCCGCAAGCGTCAGGAGCGGTGCGAGGTGTGCATCCCACACAAGCGGTGGGAGATCCATGAACAAGGAGGTCTTTGCATGCCGTCCCGCTGCCATCGCGCGACGTCGACACTCGTTCAAATCGATCGACGTTCGAAGTGCGCGCCTTTCTGAAATCAATTACCTGTCGCCATGTATGCTTCAAATTTAACTTGAAATGAGTATGCGGGTTGACGTCGTGCGGTAAAGGCTTGTGGGAGAGTCATCAGGCGCGACATCGCGTCAACCTCTCCAGAGCTCTGCTGCCAACGCGAAGTGAGGCTGTGCATGTTGCGTACATGCATGCAGGTGAGCATCTATGCAAGGTCATAGGCTTGGCGCTCGCAGTGCATTCCATCGTGATGGCCGCAGACAGCAAGCCCGTGATGCAAGCGAGAGTGGGCGAGCGTTCAAAGAACCCCGAGCACAGATGCACCTTGCTTGAGGCTTCGTACATGTACTCCACGGGAGAAGGAACGGCGCCGTCTCACGTTATGGTTCGCGCACACAGTGCTCGGCCGCATCCACCATCAACAACGATGACATTGTTGGTACTACCGCAATACGTGTCCTGTGAAATCAAATAATTTACGAAAACCTTTTGAACATAATGCGATGGTTTGCAGCGATGCTGTAAAGAAAGCGGAAAAAGAACCTGTATGAATGAGTACATTGTGAGCGACTCGGTGTGCCATCTTCCACTTGTCGGCAGCATCGGCGCGGCACCGAGTGGGCAGGGCATGATGAGATTCACGACTGGAGACATCTTGATTCGCAAGGCGCATCGAGGGAAGCTGCAAGAAGTCATTTACTTGGTGAAAGACATCTTTGTCGATGTGAATTACCGCAACCAGGTATGCCGTCGACGCACTTGTCCTGTCCTCACGCGCATCCGTGCGAACACTGACGCTTTCACGTAGAATGGATGCACGCCATTGCATGCTGCTGCAGCGTCAGGTCAACTGGAAGTCGTTCAGTGGCTCCTCAACGTTCCTGAGATGAAACCCGCCGTCGACGATGTACGAGTTGAACTGAACTATGCCTTGATCTCTTGGTTGGAGTCGCTGACAACAACGACGATGCTGCAGAGCGGTCAAACGGCGCTGCATTACGCGGCGTTCTATGGACACTTGGAAGTCGTGCTTGCGTTGGTGGAACACGGCATCCCGTTGAACCTCAAGGACAAGGTACGTCCCATGCCTTGGCAATCCCGACCCACCTTGAGCATGATCTCGATTCTAGTTTGGCCGCACGCCCCATATCGCGGCGGCACTGAATGGCCACTTGGACGTGGTTAAATTCTTGGTGGAAGAGTGGGTCCACCCCATCGACATCAACTCGATCGACGAAGTACGTGCCTCCCACCCGTCCACACCAACACACGTCGTAGTATGGCGGGACGTGCTTGCATTGGGCGGCGTCCAAGGGCCGGAAGGATGTCGTGCAGTACCTGTGTATGGCCGGTATCGACATCCATGTCACGAGCTACGTAAGTTTGTCGCGTGCTCCGATCCGTCTTGATCGCCGCCGCCCGATTCTTGGCCATTCATGCGCAGGACAACCGCACGGCATACCAACTGGCCAAAGACAAGCACAAGGGCAAGTGCATGCAGTTCCTCAAGTCGTGGTATGATATCTCCCAAGTACGCATGCCCGCCCACACACCACCCAGCGACTGAACGCGTGCTGATGGATTTGCTTGATAAGAAATTTGTGCACGCCGCCGAAGACGGCAACGACGACGAGATCAAGCGCATCATCATGGATGTAAACCATGCGTACCCATTGCGCTTCCTCAAAGACAAGGTGCCCGTTTTTTCTTTCACGAATCCCATTCTTGACGACAGCGCCATCCAGAACGGCAAAAACGCCATGCACTGGGCCGCGGGGTCGGGGCATTTGTCTACACTGCGCATCCTCGCTGAGAGCTTTGACGTGTGGACCGACGTCGACAAGGTGCGAGCCGGGACATCCCATATGCACGTTGACCTGCGAATCGGGCAGTTTGGCCGGAACGTGCTGCACTGGGCGGCCCTCGGTGGCCACAAGGACTGCGCGTTGTGGCTAATTAAACACACGCGCGACCCGAACGCGCTTCAGCGGCCGACATTGGTGAGGGGGGTCTTGCCGTGTGTTTGATCGAGTGTGCTCACGGCCGTGCGCTAGACAAACAAAACTCCGTCGCGCTGCGCGTTTGAAGCGGGGCATAGTGCTCTGGCGTCCCGTTTGCAGGTGGGGGTTCGTGTTGTCGAACGAGTCGACGACGACAACGATGTGTGTTTGCAGGCATGGGAAAAAGGCAATGCTGAATACGCCATGCCCGACGACGACGTGAGTTCGTTCAAATCCAAGGACCAGCGACCGTCTCCGAATGCCCAGGTGTCGCAGAACCGAGGTCCAGTGTGCATCCGTCGGGACCATCGACGGCTGCTCATCGTCATGGCCGGTAGACATCATATCTGTACGCAACTGGTTGAAACAGCTCGAGTTGGGCGAGTACACGGAATACTTTGAAAAGGACGGCTTCGACACGCTTCGCGGCGTCGCCACGATCGACGAAGGCGACTTGATCGAGATGAACGTTAAAAAAGGTCGGATCCGTCGTGTGGGCGCGATATGTTGACGTCGTGGGATGGCAGGTCACCGACGAGGAATCCTTCAGCACATTCAAGAGCTCAAGAACCAGTTGGCTGCGTACGACGAACAAGCGCAGAGCAACGGCGTCGAACCCGATGCGCTGCCGACTCTGAGCATGCTGCCGCAGCTCGTCAAGACGCCGAGCTCGACACAGCTCCAAACCCTCATGAACCCAACATCGCAATCGTCGGGGTCGTCGGTGGATGGCGCAACCAACGCCAACTAGTGTCGAACCCGAACGACCGAGCAATGCATACGTTATTGTTGTTACGTCATTTCAGCGCGTCGACTTGTCTGCAAATGGACTGCACCCGGCCATCGTGCAGTAGTTGTCGGCGAATTCCGTCACGTCGGTGCTAAGAACAGTCGAGATGGATTGTCATTGCCAACCGAGACAAGATTACCTGCCGCGCCCTCTGTACCATCGCTTGGTGACTGCCCCCCGGCCATTCTTCCATGCTTGCTCGTGGGCCCACCTACCACACATTTACGCTCGCGCGATCCGCTATCATGGGTGATGCTCGAACCCGATTTTCATGGCCTCTGTCATGGGGACATCGGAGAGCTCCTGTGGCTTTTTCACGTTTTGCTTGACCCTTTCAGCCACAACGTTCGACGCGGTGCCGATGGGATCAGCGCGGCTAAAGTCAGATGGCTTCATCATGGTCGGTTTCGGCGTCACGGAGCTCACTAAGGCGCCACGCAATTTGTGAAGTCAGCTCCACTCCGAACGTGCGTACAAGTTTTGGGGTTGAACTGGAAGGGCGTGGATGGGCCTTCCATCAGGAGTTCCTTCTTGAGGTGCTCGCGCCAGATCTGGTTCTTGGACACTTCGTCGCATTTGACGACGGTCCCGCCGGCCTTCTTGTCTGCCATCGCGCTCTCTCGTCGGTCGCAAACGTGCCCTTTCGTGTCGTATTACGTCTATTTTTAGATTTCACTCTTTTAGCCAATCAAAGCGAATAAAGCACCTGATTGGATAAAATAAAGGACCAATACTACTGCACATCTTGCCCGACGTATGTTGCATAGTGATGCAACCGTAACGCACGCCATCTCACTTTTGACCGGAATCGAATGGAAGGCATAGTCTGTCGTTGAGGTCCCCACGCAAGGCAGATGGAGAAGCGGGTCTCGTCAAGAACCCTCGTGGGCGATTGCAGCCACCATGCTCGCGCCACAGCGTATCCACCAGCAATGTGTGCCGCGGGCGGAGCACGAAATTTCGTGGTAATGGGTTCGTGTTGCCTGGTCACACGTTTTATAGTAAAACGTGCGTTCGATCGCGACGTGTGTCGGTGGTTTTTACTCCCGTTCGATGGGGTAAATGCCGCCACGAATTGTCCCACCCATGTGTTATTCTCAGCCCACCAATCAGATTGCGTCGCATGAGTAAATCCCAATGTCCTACGTGCGATTTGGCCGACAACGTGGGAAATACACGACGCAACACTTCGACATGAGATTACTCACCGACGACGGCGCGGGTGAGCGATGCCGTCATTCTCCGACGACGTGCTTCCTGCGCACTCGTCTTCGTTTACGTCGCATGGGTCGTTCCTCCAAGCAAGCCCGTTTGATCCTTGTCGTTCTATCGGCGTGCTCGCTCGTGTCCATCGACGCGGCGGCCGGCGGCGTCTGCTTTGACGTGGCGGACGTTGGCAACATCGACGCGCACTTTCGCCAAATCAAGTCCAAGTTCTCCGCCGTCCGAGTATACGAGACCCAAATGGGCAGCACGAATGCGATTGTGGCCGCCGCTAAAGCTGGCCTTCAAATTGCCGCCGGCGTCTGGATCCGCAGCGGGGATGCCAAGGTCCAAGCCGACATTGACGCGATTGCGGCCGGCATCAAGGCGCACCCGGACACGGTCGTCGCTGTCTACGTCGGCAACGAAGACTTGTCCAACGGTGTGTCCGAGCAAACCGTCGTCGCCAGAGTCAACCAAGTCAAGGCCAGTCTCAGTCGCCTCGGCGTGCCAGTCGGGTCGGTGCAAGTGGATGGCGACTTCTTGGGTGCTGGAGCGCTCGCTGCCGCGTGTGATGTTGTTGGCGTCAACATTTACCCGTTCTTTGGTTCATCGCCCGATTCGATCTCGCGCCCGATCTACGACCTGAACACTCGATGGATGCGCGTGACGGCCAAGTACGGCGGGAAGGCCAAGCTGACCGAGACGGGGTGGCCCACCACCGGCACGTACAACGGCCATGTCGGCAACTTTGCCAACGCGAAAGCGTACTGGGAGTCCTATTCCGAGTGGTCGTACGGCAATGGCGGCGGCATCCCGTTCTACTTTCAACACCGCGACATTGCTGGCAAAGCACCCGAGTACGAAGCGCACTTTGGCCTCGTCGATGGATCAGGCAACTGGAAGTTTGACGTTGCGCCGCCGCCATCCTCGCCGACTTCTCCGCCGACTCCCCCGCCAACTCCGCCGCCAACTTTCCCGCCAACTCCGCCGCCAACTTCCCCGCCTACCTCGCCGCCAACTCCGCCGCCAACTCCGCCGCCAACTTCCCCGCCTACCTCGCCTCCCACGGAACCACCGACTCCCCCGCCTACCTCGCCTCCCACGGAACCACCGACGACTGCCCCACCGACTACAACTGAAGCCTCGCCACCGGCGACGACAGCGGCACCGACTGACGAGCTTACCACAGCCACGCCTGAAGCGGCCACAACCTTGGAACCTACCACGATTGCCACAACTTCCTTTGTCGAGTTGACTGAAACGAACTCGACTGCCGTGGATGCGATGAACAATACGTTTGCGAATGCGTCGGCCACCAACGACTTGTTCACGGCAAGTGCGGAAACGTTGGTGTCTTCGTCGAGCGACGGCGCAACGAACTCTGCGGATGCCCCGGTCGTAGTTGGATCGGGCGGTTCTGGTGCTGCTGGAGGTGTGGCGGGCTCTGGTGCTGCTGGAAGTGCAGCAGGTGCACCGCCGACCGCCTCCGACTCGACATCTATTGGGAGCTCAGGTGGCATCAATGCCAGTGTGTCGTCTGCCGACTCTTCGACGTCCAACCCCGCACCCACGATCTTTTTGAGTGCCGGGTGCGCACTTGCAGTTGCCGCCACAGCGCTCTTTGTCGTTCGTCGTCGAGCTCAGTCGTTGGAAGAGGGCAAAGACGCGTTTGATCCCGAGTTTGGCCTCGACTCGCCCCAAACGGCAGTCCACTCTTCCCGTGGTGGTGACTACCCCAAGCAACCAGCAACTGCCCAAGCAACAAGCACCCCTGTTGCAACGCAAACGGCGCTGACAACTCCTCAGCAACCGTGCGAACCGAGTCTTTTCAACCCCAAAGACAGCTTGTTTGGTGTGGCGATGCTAGAAGATCGACCGAGCACGATGCTGGACACCATGGATGACATCCGCGAGTCGGAAGACTACATCCACGAAAGCATCTCTGACGACGACGCCGCTTCGTTGGACAATCGCCCGTCCGCGGCGACCTCCGTGTTGAGCGCTTCAGCAGAATTTTTGTTGTAAGAAAAAATGGCCAAAAAATCGATTTTTTGGCAAACTCGTTTTCTGTTTTCATACAAAGTTTAAGTATAAACCATTCGACATTCGCGCGCAAGGTGGGAGGTATTGCCGACCGCTGATTGGGCGATCCGGATCTTCGTTCAAATCGTTCCACAACTCAAGGGGCATGCCATCGCGCGCGTGTGCCGGCGGATGCGGCGGCACTGTGACTGTGAAAGACGACGTGTGTCATGTAATGAAACTCGTAAGTGAATGGACTCGCGCCGTGCGAGGAAGCTGTGCATGATGGATAAGTTGTGTTGGATAGTCCCACACGACGGTGTCAACAGTCCTCAAGTTGTTTTCGGCGTTCAAGCAGCCAACTTTCACGACGTTGGAGCTTTCGGATGGAGAACTGGACCAATTCTCGCTAGAGAAGCTCACCCAAACTTTCTTGCGTATGTCGCAAGGACATGATGCAGCAGCAGTCACTCGTTGTTGTAGCTATGCATACGTTCACAATCACGACGCTAAAGTTGTCACGGTGTCCGTTGCCAGAAGGAGTCGTGACTGTTCTAGTTCGTTGCTTCAAAGAAACAGGCAGCCTCAGGAGACTTGTTCTTGATACGTACGTCCAAAATCTGCTGTCATGGTCACTGAAGGATTCCTCACAGGTGTCGCGATGTAAGCATGACGGCTTTGATGACCTTAACGTCGTTGTTGCCTCCTATCGAACACTTGGAGCTCCCAAGCTGTAAGCTCCCTCGACAAGGTGTAGTCATGCGATTCGAATTACATTCTCGACGTTTCTTACCTTTGTTTTGTTTAGCGGGGTTGATTCTTGGCCAGACGCTGCAGTTGTGCTCGAGATTACGAACATTGATACTTCGGCAAAACAATCTTGGCGACGGTGGTGCACGTGCGATCGCTGATGCCTTTCAACCCAAGAAATGTCATGTGCATGGTCGCCACCGCATCTCCAAGTACGCATTTTCTTGCTCACACGAACTCTGCAAGACATGTCGAATTCTGAACGTCTGTCCGAAGGGGAAGTGGCACAGGAATTTGGGTCCTTGACACACTGGACTTGAGCGGCAACGGCATTTCGAACGTTGGCTTCAGTTATGTTCTCGCCATTTCTGTTCGTGAGTTGCTTGTCAGCTACAATAACATCACGTACGATGCCCAAAGGTCATAATCCACTCACGTCCGTCAGGTCTATTCATGACGTCACTGGGCATGTCCCTCTCCACTTAAAATCCTTGGACCTGTCGTACAACCCGATCAGCACGGATGGCTTCCACTCCGTCGGTGCGCTCATCTCGGGCACTTGTGCTCAAGCCAACCTTACGAGCTTGAACATTGAGGTGAATTGCGTCGACGCCGAGCGCCACGTATGAAGCCCAGTCTTTCATGGCCGTAGAACTGCTGTATCACTGTCGACGGCTTATGCTCGTTGAGAGACGCCATCACTCGCAACCCGGCAACCAAACTACGAGAAATTCGACTTGGCGAAGACAATTCCATCCACGACCCGGCGACTCGCGTGGGACTTGCTGAATTGCTGGTACGAGGTTCGGAGGCCCCGTTGATACCATCCATGCATCAAAAAGTCGTCATGCGTTGTTCCGTTCAAAGCTCTCGTTGTTTCAAGTGTCGCGTCCCGATAGGAGTGCATGAGCCGGGTGACCCCTCATGTCGAATGCATCATTTCACCCACAATCGTGCCCAAACCAACCTCGCCGACGCAACAGCTCGACCCTGTAGGAAGCAGTTCGATGCTTCGACCCATGAACGTAAGTAGTCACTCGCTTTTCATGCACATGGGATGCCACGTCGTGCATTGTGTTCCAGTGCCATGCCATTATTGCAAAAGGCGAGGTGAATCGATGCAACGAAATGGACCATCAGGACAACGACCGCGATAGCTTTTCCATGGCGTTGAATTCGCCTCAAAGTAGTAGCGCACGCACCCACAGCATCCACGACGAAGCTGAATTTCAAGACGACTGTCCTTCACCTACTGCTGCAGAAGCAATCGCGCCGTCGGAGATGGCATTCCCCCACGACGATCCTATGCGACGCGAAGCCATGGCGTCCATGAACATGGCGTTTGAAGCGCACAACATGACGCATCAACACCGCGCTCAAGTAAGCAATTCCATTCTGCATTGAATGGTGTGGTCACGATGGTGGTGTTGTGTACGACAGAGCGACTCTGTCGTGCATCGATTGTGCATAAAAGTCGAGACGTTGGAGAGTCTGGTGCCGCGTTTGGAAGGGCAGTTGGATCGTGTTGCAGAGCGCGTGGCAGGGCTGGGAGCACAACTCCCATCGATGCAAGCAGGTACTTTACATGGTGCTCGTGATCGGTGGACATCGCTGTGAATGTGCTCAGCTGAATGTGGACGCGATGGCATGTTGTGTAGACGTGGCGACCCAGCTCGGCATTCTCCGACACGACCTCTTGTCACGTATGTCGTCCATGTCCGGGGACGAGCACGACCGACCCAATCGCGGTGCATTGAGTACGTTGCCTTCATCGTTTCGTTGGCATCATGAGACCCGTGGGCCATTTTGCACGGTAGGTTTGCTTGGAAGCGACGACAACCACCAAACTGGTGTCGACCCGTCCATCCGTGCGCCGTGGAAAGCCAAGATGGAAGCGCGGCAACAAGAGCTGTTCCAGCAATTTCAGAGATGGCAGGTACAGAAGTCGTCGATAGGATTCGAAGAAGCACACGACATGCCATAGGTGTACATGGAGACCGATCGAATGCAACTCACAAATCGCGTCCAAGAATTAGAAGCCAAGGTGGCTGGGCTTGAAAACGTTGTCAAGGCGGAGCAACAAGCCAGCCTCTTGGCCCTCGAAGCCATCTCGAGCGCATTTGTTTCCGACTAACACAGGCAACACACACCACCACACCAAGCGTGTCAACTTTACGCTACGGACGCCTCCATCCCGCCATGGCCGACGATCATGGTGGACGCGGTTCGTCGGATCGCAGACGACTCTGTATGACGGCAGCAGCACCTCCAGTGTTGTGTTGTGCACGTCCCTCTTCATCGTCGAATCCCCCATTCCTACACAACATGCAACATGCCGAGCACCCTGTTTTCTCCATGTCACGGCTGGACGAAAGAGCAAGTGCATTGAACGCGATGTATTCAACTTGGCTCAATGCACTGAGGGCAGAACTACGTCCACGATGTCGCAGCGAGAGGTAGCGGCGCGTCGTTGCGAGTCAGCATGTCCATGGGGGTTGGTCGCATCAGACATTTATCTGGCGCGTTGGCGCATCTTTCGGCGCTTGCGACGCAGGCGACGCATGCGCTTCTTGCGCCACTTGGCACGCATCCCACCGGCCAAGTCGAACGTCACCTTCAACGTGTCCGCGTCGCAGACGTTGTAGTCGGCCAACGATTGAGCGCCGTGCATGGTGACGCCGGCCGCGGTCAAGCGGAAGTTTTGGATGAACTCCAAGTTTTCCACCTGCGCCGCGACGGAGGCCACGGACGCGTCGTTCGCAACGGTCAAGTTGAGGGTGCGACCCCCCAACGCATCGATGAAGATCTGCATGGTTCCCTTCTGGATGCTACGAATGCTACACACATCGCATGAGCGCCATGGACGGAGAAGAACCGCGGCGGCGGCGGCGGCGCGCACGTACCCAAACGAGTGTTTAGCAGAGCAATCAGCAGAAAGTGACTGGGAAACGTTCACTGGTGGAAAATCGATTGCTTTTATTCGTCCAGAGGTATGCCGCATACAAATATCAAGTGTACCGGAAATCCGCACATGGCGTGGGATACCGTGACCAGTTATTCGCCAGCTTGTCTCGGCCAACCGAATCCGACGCGTTTGATTGGCGAAACCAAGCATCGATGACGTGGCCACGGGGAAATGTCCTATTTTTTAGGGGAATTCGGCGTATCCGTGGGAAAATGCCCGAGGAAGGTTCCCACAGTATCTTGACGGGACGTTTTCCACTCACGACTCGAGCGCAGCGTGTAGGACGCGGCGGTACGCGGCATGCGCTGCCTTCTCGCGGTCCAGGGCATGGACGGCGCGTTGTCGAGCGGCACTCTGCTTCCACTTGGCATGGAGAGCCTGGCGCGTCGTCGCGTCGCCCGCTCGAGTTCGACGTGGGGTTGTTGGAGCGACTCGCTTCTTCGTTTGACGGGACTGCAACATCAAGGACACCAGTGCCTTCGTCGAGAGATCCTCGTCCACGCGCCGCTTGCTCTTGCGTTGGGTTGGGCACAGCAGCGATGTGTCCGAAGCAATGGACTGCAACAGGGCGCGGCACTCGACAACCCACGCCTTGGGTAATGTGACGACGGCATCGTCCATGCCAGGGATTCCATTCAACACAACGGCAAACACGGTCGCGACGATCGTCTTGGCTGGACTCGCGCCATCCTCTTGATGCTGCCACGCGGCGTCGACCAAGTGCAGCGCGAGGTCTCGTTGGGAGGGCGGAAGTGTCGGCAGGGACTGGATCCAAGCGACGGTGCTCTGCGACGCCGGCGCTGGGACCGCCTGCAGAAACGCTTCCATGATCGTTCGGGACGAGTGTTGCAAGGGGTCGGTGCGACCTGCGGCTTCAATCAGGCGGTGCAGGAGCTGTAGGGCGTCGTGTAGGTGCGCGGCAACGTCGGAGAAGTGGGTCGTCAGCACGCTGCTTTGGTGCAGCGTGATGCGGATCACGTCGTCGATCGTGTCACGAAGACTCACGACGGCGTTTAAGTGTGGGTGCAGCTCAGCCTCTGCACCCATGTGCTCTAACAACAACGTGACCGTGTCGTGCGCGGTATCCCATGAACCCACGTGCCATGCAACGTGAACTTGGGCTGGCATCGCGTCCAGCTCGGTCGCCGCTGCCGACTGAACCGTTTGCGCTGGTAGGGTGGTGAGCGCGAGTAGGTGCACGTCCACGGAGGGTGCCGTGGGAAGAGCTGCACCTACCACCTCCGCGACCACTCGACGCACCCACGGTCGAACCTGGTCGACGGAATGAAATGCGACGGCCGTCCAGATAGCACAAGGCGCCGTCGACGCCGGGAAGGACGATAGGTGCAGGATAAACGCATGGTTCGTGTGCGGATCGTGCACCCGGTGCACCACAGGCGTCGCCAGCGGCGTCACGACGCCGCATTTGGCGGCGAGCCATGGCATCACGTCCAACGCCGCCGCTTCGTCCGTAGACGCCACCGACATGAGCCCGATCGAATACTCCACCGTCGTGTCCGTGGGGTGTCGTTGGCAGAGGCGCGACGCGAGCAGCGCGGCTGCATTCACGGGGGCATGCAGCTGGCGCTGTAGACCAGCGATGGCGAGGGAACATGCGTCGGTGGCGGTGGCGTCTTTTGCCGTCCATGGTGGCGGCACTGGGCGGGGGCAGTGGCTCAAAAACGATTCGAGTGGGTCCCCGACTCGCGCGGCTGGCGACCGCCCCACGGACGGTCGAAACACGGCATTTCCAGGGATGCTGCCACGTTCGAATGAGCTGCCGTTCAAGAGAGATGGCGACGTACCGAGGGCGCTTTTGTTGTTGCACGAACCGGCGCCACATGGCAAATCGCAACTTTTGCACGGCGAGGCGCTGGACTTGTCGCAGCGCGTCGCGTTCTTGAGAATCAAGCGCTTCGGCCCGAGCAACGACGCGGTCGCGCGCTTCAAAATGGATGGCGAGCCATGTTTGCCCAAACTTTTGGATCTCTCGGGCTTTTGCCGCTTCGTCTGCTTGTCGCTGCTTTTCTGCGAGTTGCTTGTTCCACTCGAGCTGCTCCCGTTTTTTCTTTTCTTCCGCTTCTTGGCGCGCTTGCTTTGCCTTGGCGTCGGCAGCGCGCTGCTTTTCTGCTGCCATGGCAGCTGCTTTTTCTGCCGCTTGTGTCGCTGCGGCGTCGGCTG